GCTGTTCATATCTATCTATCGATCTATCTCAGTCTATTCCGATCTCTCTCTCTCTCTCTATCTATCTATCTATCTATCTATCTATCTATCCGTATAATTGAATCAAGGCAAAAAAGCTAAATATTTTTTCCTCCACAAAAGTAAAAGGAACCATAATCCGAAAAATAATGACCATGACTTAATTTCATCTTTGTCCTGGATGAGGTAACCATGTCAACAGAAATGCTGGAACAAAACATTGAAAAGAAATTAGGAAGACACATAAACCCGAGTAAAGAAAAGGATACACGGCAACCCATCCCTATTCCAAGTTAAGAAGTTCATCAATTCTACTCTACTTGGCTGTCCTCATCTCCTCTATTGTCCCAAGCAGAATACCATCTGTATCCTCGACAATTAATCGGACAGATTTGCTTGGGCGAAATAATCTTTTTAAGTGAATAACCTTTAATCTTTACATTGTTGACACGAAAGCCGTAGTCCATGGTATCTGGACAGCCACGTATATGTGAAAGGGGTATTATGAGAGATGATTCTTAAAATGATTTCCTTCCAACTAGGGGATGGGCCAAATACAGACCGTCTGATAGTTTTACACTACCTGCAAGTATACAACAAATATTGTTTTTTTAAATATCTATTCATAGATTTTGGAATTTGTTGGTTGCATGTTTCACAATAATAATCTATTGAAAACGTGAAGAAAGACGACAAAGCTGCAAAACATATATATTGAAAAACAAACCCCAATTGTCGGGAAACTCACTTTCTTCAAAATTGACATATCGTGTTATGTACCATACCAGGTACTCCTGGATCGCTACGTCCTACACTTTGCAGATATTAATGCCCAAACATCGGCACAGTGTAAATAGGGATCTAGATGCCTCTGTGTACATAGGATGTTATCGCTCCACTTTGCGATAAACGTGTCATTTATTGAAAATTTCTTACTATTGCAAACTATTTTTCTCAGCTCTACAAACTTCAATAATTGTAATAAATGTATTAAATATGAAACAAATTTCACGTCCATTTCTCAGTTAAAAAGAAGTGTCTAATAAACAAATAAATGTACAAAAAACATCTGCGTGTAGGATTGCTATTTATCTTGCTTTCGGGAAACATCAGTTGCTCAATTATCAGCCAAGTGTAACCCGGGATCTAGGTGACTGTGTATACATAGGATGTTATTTCTACACTTAGCAATAAACGTATCTTAAGATTAATCGAGAAATTCTTATTGTAAAATATTTTTTCGCTGATACACAAATCTCATTAATAATAAGGTTTACGGCCATATCGCCTTGAAACACCGGCTCCCGTACGATCAGCTGCTACAATGTTAATACTCAATTATTAGCACAGTGTAAACTGACGTAGGGAACCAGATGCTTGTGTATACATAGGATATTATTTTTGCCCTTTGCGATAATCGTATTTCGAGATCAAACGATACTTTCTTCTTATTGCAAACTATTTTTTCTCAGCTCTACAAACCTCAATAATTGTAATAAATGTATTAAATATGAAACAAATTTCTAGTCCATTTGCTCAGCCTGCTCAAAAAAATGTCCAATAAGTAAATTAATGTACAAATGAAATGCGCGTATAGGATTGCTATTTATATTGCTTTCGGGAAACATCAGTTGCTCAATTATCAGCAAAGTGTAACCCAGGATCTAGGTGACTGTGTATACATAGGATGTTATTTTTACACTTAGCAATAAATGTATCATAAGATTAATCGAGAATTTCTTATTGTAAACTATTTTTTCGCGAATTCACAAATCCCATTAATTATAAGGGTTGCGGCTATATCACGTTGAAACACCGGCTCCCGTTCGATCACCGAAGTTAAGCAACATCGAGCATGGTCAGTACCTAGATGCGTGACTGCTTAGGAATGCCATGTGCTGTAAGTTTGGATGTGCGGGTGGTGTAATGGATAATGGTTAAGAATTGTTAATTGGAGGGCCGAGTTTCAATTCCAGTTGGGTTCTTTATATTCACTTACGCGCAAATACCCTAGAGAAAGGTATGAAGTTTCTCCCCACCCCAGCTATGGGTAATTAATAAGATTTGTATCACTAAATCATTATTGTCTCCAAGAAGAAATCGTGCATTCTGAAATCTTTTCTGGCTTTAAATAACCTGCAAAGGGTTGATAATCCGTAGAAAACGAATCAATCATTCAATGAAATACTGATTAGTTGGGCCGGCATGTCTTTTAGATTCATTTGCATTCTCTGGTATATAAAGAAATAGAAACTAAACTGACTACAAAGTGAGGAATCAGTTTCTATATTGAATGTAATACAGGATTTATCCCCCACTTTATGTCCACATTATAATTGTTTTATTTATCAAATTCTGATTAGGAAAGAATCCATCTCTTCTCTCCCCAGCTATGGATTAATTAGTAATATTTGTATCACTAAAACCATTATCATCTCCCTCCAAATTCTTAGAATCTAAAATATTTTCTGGCTTTAAATAACCTGCAAAGGGTTGATAAGCCGTAGAAAACAAATCAATCAAATTGGTCTGTTCATAAAATGCGTCTACTAAGCAAATAAATGAGCAACTAAAATGTCCCTGTATGATTGTTATAAATAAATAGGATAAATTTAGGAATAAAGTGTTGCTGCCGACACTTGAGTTTGAACATAGATCGCCAGAGAGGAAACACAGGCGATCCCATTATTGAATTAAGTAGACCACGTGACCATAGAGGAAACGCATAAGTAGGAAGTCGCGTGGCCTCTAAATGATCGTCATTTCTGTTCTATCCTCTATTACTATACGGACCGCTATTCTCTTCTCTATACTATTTGGATCACTATACGGATTATTATTCGAGCGAGTATTATTGAGCAAGTACTATTAGTGCGAGTGATATACGAAGGCGTTTGACACCAGTGTTGTTCAACGGCGTTACTATAGTTGTATCTGCGATTACAAAGTCTCTACTACAACGAGCATTACGAAAGTGACAACGAGTATTCGTTGACATCACAAAAGTGGCATCATATTGTTGTCGAGAAACATCAGTTGCTAGTGTGATGAAGCCCTATTTACGGTCGACAATAATGCGGTTTGAAAAAAGATTTTCCTATCCCAACCTAAACAGAACAGGTATTTATAGAAGATAAAACTACCTATATTTGTCTATCATTGTTGGGTGCCATTAACACAGTGATTCTAATAAATTTTGTTGTTTTCATGCCTCTCCACTTCACCTTATCCCTTGTAGCTCCCAATAAGTTTCATCCCTCTTCCACCCGACAGACCACGTTCTATCGTCCACTTGCTTAAGCCCATGTCATGCGTTGCTTTCCCTTGTCTCTCTTTCTCTCTATTCGACCTGTGAGTATCAGATTCTCCAGGCCCTCCTTTCTCATTACGTGTCCCAGAAATTCCACTTGCCTCTTCCTGATGTTAAGTATAAGCCTCCTCCTTGTTTGCCTCCTCTCTAAAACCTCATCGTTGCTCGGTTCATGATATCCTTAGCATCCTTCTGTAGAACCACATCTCCGTCGCCTCGAGTCTCTTTTTCGTCATTGAGGAGACCGTTCAATAATCGATGACGTAACAGCTTAGTATTCTTTTCTTTGATACCAAAGAAATCCTCCTGTCTCGTAATACTCTGCCCAGCTTTTGGAATGCGTCCTTGGCCATTCCAATACGTCTTCGGATCTCAACGTCGCACTTACCGTCCTCCGTGAAAACACTTCCCAGATATGGAAACTGCCGCACCGGCTTGATTTTAGTGTCCCGGACCTGCAAATCGCATTTCGTCCTTTTACTACTGTCTACAAAATCAACATATCTCGTTCTACCACAGTGGCACCTGGATTGCTACGCCCTACACTTTGCCAAAGTTCTTGTTATTAGATTAGGGGTTTGTTATTAGATTAGAGGTTTGAAGCTGAGGAAACGCCGGTTTTGAGGAACAAAAACTAAAATTGGTTGAGAAAATAGACAAAGAAAAATGTGAAACAAAACAATATAGAAATATTTATTCTATCGGAAACATTTTTGCATAGAGAACATTTCATTGAATGTTACTGAAAGAAAGTGCAAATTCCAGGAATATCCTTAAGAGTGTCTTTGTAAAATAGCTGCATCTACTAGAAGGAATGTTGGGTCACTGTGTCCCGACAGAAATTTTTACTCCATCTTAACACATTTACAAATTTACCATTCGTCCATGCATTGAATACTGTTGCCATATCTGGTCAGGTGCTCCTGCTATTCATCTCGAAGTTCTTGACAAAATCCAAAGAAGGATCTCTAATGTAATCGTTCCTGAATTGGCATCTTGATTTCAGTCACTTTCTCACCGACGTGAAGTGGCTTCCCTCTGTCTTTTCTACAAATATTTTCATGTCTACTGCTCTGACGAGCTTTTTTCACTGGCGCCCCGAATACATAAATTTAAGCGTGCTACTAGATTGGCATCTAGGTCCCACCCATTTATTGTTGATATAGCTAAATGCAACCGCCACTTCTACTGCAACAGTTTCTTTTCTCGTACTTCCCGCCTGGGGAACTCCCTTCCGTTTACTTCCTTCCCTGATAATTAAAATACTCAAAAATGTAAATGCAATGTCAATAACCATCTTCCATCTTCTTGAATCCCGTTCATCTTTTGTCTCAGTTTGTTCTTTTTAATCTTACCCAAGAACTGAAAACGAGCTGCTGCTGCTGATAGGATTATTGATGCATGCGTGTCTAGCGGAAAGTTAGTTTTAACGTCTGCTAGAATGTCAATGTTCAATCACCAGCACAGTTTAAGCTAGCTTAGGTGCCTGTGTATACAAAGAATGTCATTTCTACCTTTGAGATAAACGTGTCATGAGATTTATTGAAAAATTTTATTGTTGCAAACTATTTTTTCTCAGCTCTAGAAACCTCAGTAACAGTAGAAAATGTATAAAATTTTAAACTAATTTCTCAAACCTTTGTGCACTCTGTTCCCGAAGTGTAATTAGCAAATAAATGTAAAAATAACATGTGCGTGTAGGATTGCTATTTATAATGTCATTAAGAAATGTTATGGACGAATGGTAGACTTATAAAAGTGTAAGATAGTTTTTGGCGAAAAAAATTATCTAGCATGACACAATAAGACATCTTTCATAGCTGCAGACCACGAGGTGGTTCGATATAATTTTTTCACTTCATGACAATAGAAAATGTTAGACCGAGAAAGTGTAATGAGTTACTCTTCTGGAGATTAGCATCAGTAATGCCAATAGAAGGCAAAAAAGGTTCTCTAAGATGATTAAAGATGAGCGGTGTTGTTTTGAATGCATTAAAACTAAAAAGCCATTTCTTGCACCAGTTAATAACGGATTGGAGATTTTTTTAGATCAGCTACCAATTTGATCGTATCGATCAGATTTACAGGAATAAATAGCTGTCACGACAGCATTATTGTAAAAGGTTTTTTCCAATGCACAAATCTCATTAATAATAATAATAATAATAAAAATGTATTAATTATGAAACTAATTCCTTAAACAATTGTGTATTCTGCCAGAAATCTCTAAATATATAGCAAAAACACCAGAGCAGATATTAGCAGCGATATTCAAAGCAAGGATGAATGGTAGATTTATAAAAATGTAAAATAGATTCTTCTTTGGGTTTTATCAAGAATCTCTAAATATATAACAGAAGCACTAGACCAGATATGGCAGCAATATTCAAAGCAAGGATGAATGGTAGACTTATAAATATGTAAGATAGATTGTTCTTTGGATTTTATCAAGAATCTCTAAATATATAGCAGAAGCACCAGACCAGATGTGGCAGCAATATTCAAAGCAAGGATGAATGGTAGACTTATAAATATGTAAAATAGATTTTTCTTTGGGTTTTATCAAGAATCTCTAAATATATAGCAGAAGCACCAGACCAGATGTGGCAGCAATATTCAATGCAAGGATGAATGGTAGACTTATAATTCCTTAAACAATTGTGTATTCTGCCAGAAATCTCTAAATATATAGCAAAAACACCAGAGCAGATATTAGCAGCGATATTCAAAGCAAGGATGAATGGTAGATTTATAAAAATGTAAAATAGATTCTTCTTTGGGTTTTATCAAGAATCTCTAAATATATAACAGAAGCACTAGACCAGATATGGCAGCAATATTCAAAAAGGATGAATGGGACTTATAAAAATATGTAAGATAATTGTTCTTTGGATTTTATCAAGATCTCTAAAAATATATGTAAAATAGATGGCAGCAATATTCAAAGCAAGGATGAATGGTTTAAATATCAAGAATTCTTCTTTGGAAATAAATCTCTAAAATATAACAAGCACTAGACCAGATATGGCAGCAATATTTCAAGGATGAATGGTAGGTAAAATAGATTCATCTTTGGTATCTCTAAATATATAGCAAAGCACCAGACCAGATGTGGCAGCAATATTCAAAGCAAGGATGAATGGTAGACTTATAAATAAATTCTTCTTTGGATTTTATCTTAAATATATTGCACCAGACCAGATTGGCAGCAATATTCAAGGATGAATGGTGAACTTATAAATATAAAATAGATTCTTCTTTTGGTTTTATCAAGAATCTCTAAATATATATTAGACCAGACCTGATGTGGCAGCAATATTCAAAGCAAGGATGAATGGTAGACTTATAAATATGTAAAATAGATTCTTCTTTGGATTTTATCAAGAATCTCTAAATATATAGCAGAAGCACTAGACCAGATATGGCAGGCAATATTAGACTTATAAATATGTAAAATAATTCTTCTTTGGATGAATGAAGCACTAGACTTATTAAAGCAAGGATGAATGGTAGATATAAAATAAAATAGATTTTTCTTTGGGTTTTTATCAAGAATCTCTAAATATATAGCAGAAGCACCAGACCAGATGTGGT